TGGCTGGGCCACTCGGGCTGTACATCTTTTTCACACACAGTTTATGGTGAAGAAAGGCCCAGGAATATGTACAACTGGCTCATCCACCCCAAACCCCTCAAATACTTCCTCCTGCCCAACCCAGAACTCCCCCAACTCCACTATAAAACAGCAAGAGAGGAGCAACATTACCTCTTCCCACACGCCCTTCCACCACATCTCCAGGAACCGGAACAAGAACCTCCCCAACACCAACCCGATTACGAGCCCTATGCTCAACTCCATAGCCATCAAAACATGGGCCAGGACATCCTCGAACAAAGCCAAAACCCTCCACCACCCGACTTCTTTCAACAACTTCTGGAGGGTCAACAACAACTGCTTACGGGATACGCCCAAATGGACAACCGGCTCAACCGATTAGAGGAGGAGCAAAGAGCCGGTTTTCAGTGATTGGAGGAGCTCAGGGAAGCCGATAGACATCGGTATGAGGAAGACCAACGTAGGTTCTACGGACCTATGTACTCTTATATGGCACAGCAGGGATCCTTCCATACCATGGCGAACCCCCCTCCACCACCCTCGTGGTATGACCCCACTCATTGGGGTAACTTTGGAGGATCTGGCTCCGGGGGTGGAGGGTACGACGGCGGAGATGGCGGGGACACGTATATGGGAGATGGTGGCCAAGGGAGCGGCTTCGGAGGGAGCTACTACGGAGGAGAAGGCGGGCACTAGGGACAGTGCTTGATTCAAGTGCGGGGGAGACACTCATGATGGTATGTAACTTTTATTTCCACCTAGCACTATGCATGTAATTCTTTTGAACTTTTACACAAAATAAAAATAAAAATAAATGCTAGTTAGGTTGAAAACCCAACAAAATGGGCAATCTAAGCAAAAAGGGCTTATAAAAAAAATGAGTGAGTTGGGGAGAATGAAAAATGAAAAGAGATGCTAGGATGAAAACCTAAAAAGGCTCCTAGGAAAAATGAGAGATATGAGAGAAATGTTTGTTTTTGCAGGCACTCATTGTATCTCTGTGAAGAATAAGAAGATTCAGAAATCAAAGACAAAGAAGAAGAGAGGAGGAGAAGAGAAGATAACACTAGAAGGCCATTAAACCCAAGATGTTCTTTGTAATTTGAGTTTAAAACTCATTTTTTCTTTGTCATCCTTGGTGGTCTTTGTGTTTGTATGTTGTTTTTGTTGAACTGTGGAACTTTTGGAGAAACTTGACACTTGTGAACATTTGATCTTACTCGAGACGAGTAAAGGTTTAAGTGTGGGGGAGTTGATACGTTTGTAATTTCCATATTTATGTTTGTGTTTTTAATTAGTTTTGCTTGATCTTTACTATGGAAATTACACACTTTTGGTGTAATAGATTAGTTTGTTAAATTCTTGTAAATAGGTTAGATTAGATATATTCTGAGCTCAAACATGTCTTGATCACTCGAAGTACAGTTGGTGAACCCAAAAAGTGGAAAGAAGGTGCAAAAATTTGAAGACAAAAGAAGATCCTGAATTTTGGTCTATACTCGGTCGAGTATTAACTATACTCGATCGAGTATTAGGTTGGAACTTCAAATCGGATCAGATCTGAAGACAAGGGAACATGCCGGGAAGATTTCGGCCACGATTTAATGTATATACCCGATCGGGTAGACCGACATACCCGATCGGGTATGCCTTTGAGTTTTAAACGAAGATCGGTCGAGTATGGTCCGAATACCATTTTCTAAGCATACTCGACCGGGTATTAATATATACCCGATCGGGTATACTTATGGAAAACAGCCTGAAACCGGTCGAGTATACCTCGGATCGAGTATTACACACATACTCGATCGGGTACCATGTATATACCCGATCGAGTACCCGAATCCCATCCCAAAAGCCTTTAAATACACCTCATTTCCTTCACAAAAAGATATCCAATTCCTTTGTACATCTAAGCTCAGTATAGAATAAGCTCTTTCTTTATATTTTTCATCATGTTTAGTCTCCAAATGAGAAGCTAAACTCTTCCATCTTGGTTTTGCTACTTTGAAGCTTAATGAATTTGTAAGTTGTGAGTTATTTTCTTTAATCTTCTTCCTTGAATATTAATTCTTCCTTTAAAATACTATCTCTATATCAAAGTTGGGGAGTGTTACTAAGATGACAATTAGTTAACATCTTGACATTGGTTATAGTAATAGCTATTTCTTCCTCTATGTTAATATTGGGGAGTGTTACTAAGATGACAATTAGTTAACATCTTGATATTAATCATAGTAGGATTCATATTCTTTAATATTCTTACTTGAATATTAATTAATTCCTATTCATATTTCATATTAATATCTTAAACATTACTTAAAGTATCAACTAGTATTGTTTCTCATATTAATTATTACTAGAATCGATCGGTTAATACGCTTGTTATTAATCCGGTTCTTTCAACGGTAGTAAACTTGGAATATTAATGCATGCATCTCATGGTTAATATGCCAAGGGGAATTAATTATATTGATTGAACCAATAAACCGCTTGTGTTGAGGTTATCAATCTCAATCGTTTTCATCTTAAGTTTATTGCTACTATCAAGTTAATATACGGCGCTTGTTCTATATTGACTCGATAGTAAGTTTTATTAATGAACGCATCTCGTTATTAATAACTACCCTCGATGAACTGGATATACTCCTCGATTGAGTATTTGAGAGGAAGATAGTTAAAGATATAACCGGGATCGACGAACATTTCATTAAGTGGATAAAAGTAAGACCAAGTTCTCATCTCATTGAATTAAACTCATATAGGTCGTTTATCTTAGTGTTTTTAAACCAAACAAATCTAAACCCCCCTTGTTACTATTTATATAAATGAAAAGTATTACTTTCCCTGTGGATACGAACCTTACTTCGTTATACTACGTATATTCGTTGTATTGTATTTATTTTGAGTGCACCTAACGACAAGTGCACGCCATTCCTCTAGCTCGGGACCCGATGGGGGTGTGGTCAGTGGGAGTGTGTTGTCTGCCCCTAGACGTGTGAGTCCTTCGGTGATCTCCCCGATGGGCTCGTGAATGGGTCGAAGCCGTGGTTGTCTCTGTATCGGCGGTCTCCTCATCGAATGATTGCATCGATCGGAGTGGGGACGGGGGTCGTGTACCCGGTTTCCCTTGTGTAGCTGGATCTTCCCCCGTCTTGCTCATCTGCCATATGCTGCATTATTTGGGCTAGATCCTGCATGGCGTGGGGGTTCCTCCTCAGTGCTTCGGGGATGAAGAAGTCCCCATCAAAATGTTGGTAAGACCCCCAGCTGGATTGCCCTTGGGGGGTCCAGTTCCCCGGAGTCCTGCTCCCTCCGAGTCGCTGCGAATTTTCATTGGAATGATGAGAGGTGATTCTGGCCATCGTGGTGGTAGGTTGATGTTTGGATAAAATAGTTGGTTTGAAAAACTTTTTGTTCAAGTTCCCACAGACGGCGCTAATGTTGAAGCTAAATCCTGCAGATCCGAAAGCCCAACACATGCTTTGGATAATAAGGATATGGAAAATAGATCAAGGGTCTAAGAAATTATAAAGGCTGAATAATAATATGCTCAAAAGCCCACTTGTATTAAGCAATTCGCTGATTACATAGGAAACTTCCCGAACGGCATGTCGAAATAGTGATGATACAATAAGAAGAATGATAAAACTATTCTAGGTCTTGAGTCTCAAAATGTTAACCCTTTACAATGAGATTAGAGCCCCTATTTATACTAATAAAAGGGGATGGGGTGATGACGTGGCTGGATATGACTTGCTGTCGTTCTCGTGCCACTTGGATGCCCATACTCCCACTTGCTGACGCCATACCCTTGCATTAAATGCCTCTTGCCACTTTCAGGCTACCCGTTCAGGCTTGAGAACGATGCCCATGCTGATATCATTATTAATCTAATCCAAGTTACCTGCATGACCCGATCCCCGTTCGGGGTATAAATCCCTTGTGTCTCTCTGCATCCCGTTCGATATAACTAGTTACTAGGCCTATTCTTCTATGGATCCTTGCTGACTAATGGGCCTGGTATATTGAGCTTTCGGCCCAATATCCCAACAGCCATTAACCCAACACAGTTTTTAAAATCAAAGTAGATGAAGAAGTTGTCATCATTTAATGCATGTATGGATCGATGGAGATGATCATCTATTTTTTCAGGATCTCAAATGAGGGAGAAAGAGATAAACAGAAGTGAGTAGAGGAATTAACGAAGAAGAAGGAAGAGACAGTGAAGAACGAGTCTCAATTTCACCATTACTCCTTCGTCGCTCGTCACCGCTCTCTGTTGCTCTCACCGCAGATCTCCATCAGCGTCCATCTCAATGTTGAAGATGAACAATGGAGAAGCCTGGTGCGGACAATTCATTGTTGCAGGGGGAGAAAGGCTTGTGTGGATGGTTTATTGTGGCAGGGGAAGAACGGAAAGCCTAATTAAAACAATCGGAAAGGGTGAAATTCTAACAATGGTCCTATTTGAGAAATAAAAATATACATACTCCCCATTTAGGAATTTAAGTAATAATAATAATTTAGTATTAGAGAGACTCCTCTAATACTCAATTCTGCACCAGCCGGCCATGAGATTTAGCTGTTGTGCTCTAAAAGAACCAGCAGTTGGTCCAACCGGAAATGGATCAAACCATTTTTGCTTTTGTTATTTTGTTTTGCAGAGATATTACTCAAAATAGGACTAAAACGGTTTGAAAAATCCAAAATAAGACGACCATGTTTTTATTCTCAAAATAGGATTAATTACTGTCATGTTTTGACAGTACCAGAACTATTTTGGAATTTTGAAACTGTTTTAGTCTTCATTCAACTTTCCTTTTTTTTATTACTCCCTCCGTACCACTAAAATTGTCTCATACCATATTTGTTAAAGTTTGTGTGGTTCTAAATCATTCTTACTTTATTCTTATTTTATCGCTTAATATCACATCCGTCCCACTTTTGTTAATAATGGTGCCACTCTCTTCCGACAGGATAGAAGAGGACAGAGGTAGTACTACCAGACCACCATGTATTGGCCATAGCCTGCCGCCCCTCTGCTTTCTCATCAGCAGACCACCATGGCCATAGCCCTCTCCTCGTCAGCTCATCCACCCCGCTATCCTTCCTTCTCTCCTTCCAGACCCCATCTCTCCCACAAACCTCCCCTCTTTACCGCAACCACCAAGAAACTTAAGAAGCTTCTAAGCCATGCTGCGGCTGAGAATGGGTCTGCCGTTGATCAAGAAAGGATAGTTGCGGCGGAGAAGGATTTGAACTACCATGGGACTGCAGTGCCGCCGGAATTGGTCTTGAGTAAGAAGTTCCATGATCCGAGATGGATCGGAGGAACTTGGGATTTAGGGCAGTTTCAGACTGATAGGAAGACCGATTGGGATGCTGTGATTGACGCCGGTGAGCTCTTTGTATTTCAAACTACCTGCTCAATTTGTTTATTGATTTCTTATTTTTGATGTTGTGTGTTTCCGTAGTCGTGTTAACTTTTAACTACGCCTCCACCGACACCAGATTTGATTCGTGCAGAATCTGTATTGCTTGCTAATTTGTGTTAGCGATTCTAAAGAATTTTAGGCGAGGGATGCCTCGTGGGGGATTTGTAGAAAGATCACTGCCTTATTTATCTGCTTGTCACAGTAGGCATCTAACTGAGTTCCAAAGAGGAAATCGTAATGTTTATGAGATGCACGGTTTCCCAAGAAAGTTTAGAAATTTAACAAAATCAAGAGTCCTTTTATTTTGGGACTGTTGGAAGGGAATAAGATTTCCAGGGAATCAAGAGTTCTCTGCTTCTTGCCACTAACCAGAAGAGCCCAAGAGTATTTTGAGGCCTAGATGGTCTGCCATTTCCATGAACCCACTTGCAATAGCAGACTCTTTTGTTCACATGAAACTATTTGGTAAATAAAACACACCATTTTTTGAAGTGGGACGAAACTACAAAACTATGCAAACTTGTCTAAGTCATTCTGGTATTCAATGACGTGGTCGTGAATCTACTCCTGTGCAAGGCTGCAGGCTAATGCTGCGTTTGAGTTCTAAAGTTGGTCTTTTTTCCCTTACACCTTCTGCATTTCTACTCTTTTTAAACATGATTGGACAATATCTCATATTATTATGCAGTCATTTGTATGATAATTATGTTTTTGCTTCATCAGTGTGCCTGTAGTGCAGTTTGAAGCCATAATTTAACAATTTGCTGTTTGATTTCTGTGAGATACAGTCGCATTTTGTTCCAATCGTTGTTTGCATTTCAGTTTTTGAGTTTGCCCATTTAGTCAGATACTTTTGAGTATATTCCTTATGAGCTGTCTAGGAAAATAAATATTTTTCAAACACTACATTCAGTACATTGTGAAGAAACAGTAAACAAACCCTTTATCACCTTAGTCACGGGTCCCAAATGTTAGGTTCAGTTAGACATTGACACGCAATTTTATTGTGCCAATGAATAAGTTAAACACTCTAGAAACATTCTTTTTCTGGGGAACTCTTATCGAGTTTTATTAAAATTGCTAATGACTAAATTTTAGGTCATATACCTTCTCCGTCACAACCCTCCCTCTTATAAAGAATTAATGGGATGAAATCACACTATAACATCAATCAATCAATTGCCTCTAATTACTTTTTTTTTTGAAAATGCCTCTATTTACTTAAACACCATAAAATGCTGATGATGCTGATGATGACATTTTCTTTTGTTGATTATGTTTTCCTGGGGATTATGTTGGTAGAATATAAGTATATCTTACCACAGCTTTGGTTTTTCTTCTAAAAAATGATTTTGTGAATTCATTATGATGCAGAGGTTAAGAGGAGGAAGTGGTTAGAAGATAACCCAGAGCCATCAAGTAATGAAAGCCCTGTACTTTTTGACACTTCTTTTATTCCTTGGTGGGTATGGATGAAGAGGTTCCACCTTCCTGAAGCTGAACTCCTTAATGGTATTCACTCTTTATCTGTGTCTCTCGTGTCTACAATTCCAAAACAAACTATTTTCCAACGATGCAACTGATCAATTACTTTTCCTTGCAATCATTTCTCCCTCTTTCAAAAGTCCTTACCCTAGGCATCAATGTCCCTCAATTGACCCCACCTAACTCTGCCCAATGCTGCTCAGGCATCACTTATTAACTCAGTGTATAAGGCTTTTTTGAATGCGTATGGGTCCATATTTACATCTACCTCTCTGAGGTTTAGTCAAATTGCCAAGTGATCCTTTTAGTTTTTGAAATTATGAATACATCCCTTGGCAAGTCAAGTATTCGGTACCTAACAGCACAGGGTAATCGAATACTACTACCCTCGTCCCAAATTGGTTTGCAAAATTGTCTTTTTTTTGTCAAACAGTTTCATTTTATTCATTTAATTAGAATGTCAATTTTTAATTATATTCTGATTTGGAGTTTGCAACTTTGAAAAGATTTTAATGTAGTTTCTAAATATGTAAATTTTAAATATTAAAAGTTGAATTAATTATCAACGGGGAAGATTTAACTTTAAGATTAGTTAACTAGAGAATGTTAACTTCGGAAATCAATTCGAGACGGAGGGAGTATGATATACTATCAAAAGTAGAAATGGGTGTTTGTTTTTTACTAAATTACTTTTGACATTTGTTGCAATACACGCACACACACGTATACTACCTCCGTCCCCAAAACAACTTCCTAATTCCCATATTCAAATGTCCCAAAATAAACTTCATTTTTCCATTTAAAGTGAATTTTCAATACAAATTATCAAAACTGCCATTACTTTTATTTATTTTTTACTTGATTTGACATAAAGTAGGGGTATCATTGGAAAGTGCCCATTAAAATGTGCCTAAGTCAAAGTGTGAAGTTGTTTCCGGGACGGAGAGAGTATAACTTAATCATTTTAATTGATAGGACTTGATATTCATATTTCGAGATATGTAAATATATAAACTTCAAGGACTATTTTGTAATTTGGGCAAACCTTAGGGAGGTAAGTGTAATCAAACCGGATACTGATAATTTGTCATGTGACGGATGCCTAAACTACTTACGAAATGATGAAGCTTTAATTAATTTATGCAGGCCGGGCTGCAATGATTGGTTTCTTCATGGCCTATCTGGTGGATGGTTTGACTGGTGTTGGCCTAGTTGATCAAATGAGCAATTTCTTCTGCAAAACACTATTATTTGTAGCTGTAGGAGGGGTTCTTCTGATCAGGAAGAATGAGGACATAGAGACGCTCAAGAAGCTGGTGGAGGAGACCACTTTCTATGACAAGCAGTGGCAAGCAAGTTGGCTGCAAGATGAGACTCCCAAGGATTCTTGAAAACAGTTTCTACTTCTTCCTTTTGCATGAACCCCTTGTACTATGGTGTTCCACTATGTCAGTGAAGAGTAGTGCAACATAACAATTCATGTGTACACACTCCTCGTAATGTTAATGTTAATTAATGGAGAAGTAGATTCCTTGTATTTGATCCCAACGCGATTCATTAAAAAGGGCTCGGAAGATAATTAATTTCAAAGGAAAAGAACAGTCATATAAGTGTAGGAATAAGAATAACAAGGAAAAAGAGTCAAATACACCTTTCTATTATTTCTAATCCATCACTTATAATCATGTATTAAAAAAGCATCATTGAAATATGTTTACTTTAAAAAATAGTTCAATCCAGCCGTTTAACCGTTTTTCCCTGTATGGCTTTTTATATTAAACATTTACTCTAAATATGTTTTCCCATTTGTTGATGTTTATACATCTCTTCAAAGTCTAAGGGTATGTTTACTAACACAGATGTTTTTCAGTTTTCCAGAAAAATGGAAAACAGGAAACGCGTTTACCAAAGAAAATTGCTGGAAAACTGGAGAAAGGAAAATAGAAAAACGCGTTTACCAAATCGTTTTCCAAAATGAAAAAATGAGACATGTCTCTCTTTTCCTTAATGATTTGGAGAAGTGACTTTTACTAGTTTTTCAAATTTGGAAAACGCAGATGCTACAGGCCGTTGCAATGAATTTGCATACTTTACACCTAGTGGTGGGTTCGGTCCCGCTCCGATGTCGATTCCATTCTAGTACATCCATCCTCATACCTTACCCCTACCCTACCTTACCCACCCAACCCCCACCCCGCATACCCCTTTTCCCTACAATGACCCTACCCCCACCCTCTACCACATGCCCCTACATCGGTCCCACCCCGATCCACCCTACCCTACCGCCACCCCCCTACCACCTCAACCCCACCCCGACCAATCGTACCCTACCCCCACCTCGTATATTACCCCTTACCCCTTCCAATATGCCCCCTACCTCAGCCCTACCCTACCGTTACCCCTACCTTTGTACCGCCATCCTACCCCCACCCACCCTACTGCCATCCTACCCCCACCACCATCCTACCCCCACCACCATCCTACCCCCACCCTACCCCTTCCCCTACCTCGGCCCCACCCTGATCCCGGCCCCACCCTACCGCCATCTGATCCCAACTCCCTACCTCGGCCCCACCCTGATATGTATAGGGTTATTTTGGACATTTTAATGTTAAACGGTGTTTTAAACCTTTTGAAGTAAACATTATCTTATAACATTGCTTATTTTGGACATTTTAATGTTAAACAATGTTTTTCCTAGTCTTCATAATTGATAACACATATAATCATTTTATATACACATGATATTTGAGATTGGAGGAAAAAATATTGTGCCTATTTCAGATTTTCTTCCGCATAATATTCCCTGTTCGCGGCATATTTTTTTATGAAATTTATTTTATTTTTTCCGTTAAAATGAACATGAAAGCCAAAACTCGGAAATGAACGTTCTCCTACTTATTTTCTTTCTTTCTAGATTTTGACTTTTAAAAAACATAATAAAATTATTTTGTGTTTTAGAAGATCTATGAAGATATACAGAAAAAACCTGAAATTTTAAAATCAAGAAAATCTAATTCTAGATAAATCAAAAATAAAGAAAATTTAATAAAGAAAATGTAATCCGAGAACGTTCTCTTATAAATTTTTAAAATTAAGAAAATATACAAAAATCATGTACAACAAATGTGTATGCAATTATTTATGTTTTGGTTCTTACTTTCTTCATGCATTAAAACCTCTGACTATGTAATGTTATAATTATTGAGAATCACCATGGCAGGCTGGGAGCAACCACGAAGAAGCAATTCAACATTTGCTCATCGAAAGAATCAAATGAACAACTCTACATTGCCAACAAAATGTATAATCATTTACACATCTCGTGCCTCTTGAGTAAATTGCTGACCTACTATGTATTCTGCGGGAAGTTGATCGATGACAATATAAAAGTAATCCAAACAGTGAGATAGATGTGTGAATGAATGTGAGAAGCTTCATGTTAGAATCCCAAACCGGAAAAGTTTGAATCAACAAAGTGCTATATTAAGACATGGACTACTCCTCCTGTCAAATTGACCTTTTATGATGGAAACCTGAGTCTTAACATGGTATCAGAGTCAATTCCGGTTATTTGTGGTTTGACAGCTTGTTTAGCACCCATGATTAAGTGTAACTTGTTAAGGGTTTGTTTGGTCCGTTTATACACCTCGATATTGTCCAGCCCGATTCGGGCTGAGGGGGCGTGTTAAAACATTTGTCTCACACCGGAAAGCTATAAAACAATTAAACACTATATAAGGCTTTCGGCTACTCCTCTTCTCAGGTTAACCTTTTAGGATGGAACCCCGAGTCTTAACATGTTAAAGCATTTGTCTCACACCGGAAAGCTATAAAACAATTAAACACTATATAAGGCTTTCGGCTACTCCTCCTATCAGGTTGACCTTTTAGGATGGAACCTTGAGTCTTAACATGGTATCAGAACCAAATCGATCCATAACTATGATGTGGGGCCCCTTATGAAAAATGACGACACGATTGAAAAATGACAATGACGAACCGACGAAGTGTCTGGTCATGAGGAGGGGTGTTAGAATCCCACACCGGAAAAGTTTGAATCAACAAAGTGCTATATTAAGACATGAGTTACTCCTCCTGTCAGGTTGACTTTTTAGGATGGCACCCCGAGTCTTAACACTTCATGCATCCGGATTGATTTCATAGGTGAGCGTTGCATTGCAACCTGTTAGGAGCAGGATACACTCAATCAGCTTCACTATTCTCACCACCCATTTCAACCAATAGAATTTCAGTATTTCAAACCGTGATTTTTGGTCTTCTATACACGTACATCAGTTAACAGTGCACACCTCCATTGAGATCCAATAGGAGTAGCTGAAAGATCTTTTACATCTGCACACCTCCTTTTGGACCAATAAGAATAGTTGAAAGATATTTTACCTCTGTGCACCTCTTTTGGAACCAATAGGAATTGTTTGATCAAAAAACCACATGACTCGATTGCTGTAATATCTTCAGTTTTTTTGTGTTTATCTGAACAAATTACAAAACAAGAAATTGACGTCGACACTTATAAGCGGGAAAATTGTTCATCAAACTTCTTTTTCTTTTATACTAGAATAGATTATTGTTGTTATTTTTGTTGTTATTGTTATTGTTGCTATTATTGTTGCTGTTATTGTTGATGTTATTGTTATTGTTAGTGTTAATGTTATTGTTGTTGTTGTTCTTGTTATTGTTGTTGTTATCGTTGCTGTTATTGTTAATGTTAATGTTGTTATTATTGTTAGTATTAGTGTTGTTGTAATTCTTGTTGTTGTTGTTGTTGTTGTTGTTATTGTTGCTGTTGTTAGTGTTGTTGTTGTTGGTGTTGGTGTTGTTGTTGTTGTTGCTGTTGTTGTTGTTGGTGGTGGTGGTGGTGGTGGTGGTGGTGTTGTCGTTGTTGGTGTTGTTGTTGTTGTTGTTGTTGTTGTTGCTGTTGTTGTTGTTGCTGTTGTCGTTGTCGTTGTTGTTGCTGCTATTGTTGGTGTTGTTGTTGTTGATGTTGTTGTTGGTGTTGGTGTTGGTGTTGTTGTAGTAGTTGGTGGTGTTGTTGCTGTTGTTGTTGGTGTTGGTGGTGGTGGTTGTGGTGGTGGTGTTGCTGTTGTTGGTGTTGGTGTTGTTGTTGTTGCTATTGTCGTTGTCGTTGTTGTTACTGCTATTGTTGGTGTTGTTGTTGTTGATGTTGTTGTTGTTGGTGGTGGTGTTGCTGTTGGTGTTGCTGTTGCTGCTGTTGTTGTTGTTGATGATGTTGTTGTTGTTGATGTTGTTGTTCAGATCAGAAAGATTCAGATTAGATCAAAAGAATTCAGATCAGATTAGAAAGATTCGGATAATTTCAGATTAGATAAGAAAGATTCAGATCAGATCCGAAAAATTCAGACCCGACCAGAACTTAAAAAATTCATATCAAAAACATTCAAATCAGATGAAGAGAACAATTACATAACGTAAACATAATTGCACAATTAAGAATCAATGTATTTACTCCTAAATAGGACTACACATTATATTTCTGCCCCTAATAGAATTAATTCCCCCCTAGTTCACTTGCACAACCAAGGTCAGTCCGTTGGTGGCATAGGGGGTGTTTGACAATTGGCTGTTGGCTGTTAGTTGTTGGCTGGTTGTATTAGCTGATTGATAACAGCAGTTTCAGTTGGCTGTTTTGATTAGCTGATAGAATTAGCAGTTTTTCAAATGGTGTTTGGTTAAATGGATGTTTACAATTAGTTGATAATTTGTTAAAAGACTTATAAGGACATCAATTAATTTTTTATTAATATACTCCGTAATTCATTAAACTACTAAACTGTTTTTTATGATTTTAAAAACTAAAAAAGTTGTCGGTAATAAATATTTTGATTAATTAGGCTGGTCATATTCTAAATATTTATTTTGATTAATAGTCTCAATTCTAAATCTTCCATTTCAAACAACTAATAAGAGAACACACTAATGCACGAATTGCGTCATCCATCTCATCCCTTTCTCATCCCTTTCTCATCCCAATTGCGTCATCCATCTCATCCATGAATGCCCTGATTTGGCCGTGAAGTAAGAGAAGAGCTCAACCAGACACTTGATTTTGCCGTGGTATATGTATAGCACGTGTGTGTGTGTGTGTGTGTGTGTGTGTATTTGCGAATCAGAGGTTACACATAGCTAATCTTGCTCCCATGGTTGATTATTTGCTCTACGGAAGTTGGTAATCTGGTATGGGTTGGGGAAGTTTTCTCTCCCTTAATTTTTTGCAAAATAGGAGGTACGAGAAAAGGCATGGGTAGTTTAGGGATGATGCGGAAATGCCAATAGCAAACGCTGGGGTGGTTGGCGTTTGAGATTTTAGCTGTTTGGAACAAAAAGCTAATTGAAAAAGCCATTAAATCAAACACTTTTATTAGTTGATTGATCTGGTCAAAAGGCCAAATGTAGTCAAATCAGCCAAAAAATGGCTGATAGGCTCTTAAACAAACACCCCCATAGTGATCTGGTGGTTACGGTAGATCGACGGTGGCGGCGGGGACCTACAAT